ATAAATTATAATACAGTAATAGTACATTTCTTGTTTATAGACTTTTATACATTCATATGTTGTATGTACAGTACTGACATCTCTTTATCTAGCTCAATCTCCTCCATGGTTCATTTTCCAATTTTTATCTGATAATGAATATTATCTTCTGAAAGGCTACATTAATGCAAAATTATCAGACAAACTTTCTCCCTCTCTCTGTCTCTCTCTCTCTCATAATTTTTACTGTTCTTCGGTATTTCTGAGTTACGACGTATGGATGAAAGTAACATTTGTTTGGACATATGAACTCAGGGGCGTCTTTTCCACATCTGCTCTAAGCTTATTTCCCAATTCTAGAGGCAATTCCAAAACAAAAATAGTCAGAATATAAGAATAAAGGTAAAGGTAAAGGTTCCCCTTGATAATTTTTGTCCAGTTCTAGCTCAGTCTCCTCCATGGTTCATTTTCCAATTTTTATCTGATAATGAATATTATCTTCTGAAAGGCTACATTAATGCAAAATTATCAGACAAACTTTCTCCCTCTCTCTGTCTCTCTCTCTCTCATAATTTTTACTGTTCTTCGGTATTCCTGAGTTACGACGTATGGATGAAAGTAACTTTTGTTTGGACATGAACTCAGGGGCTTCTTTTCCACATCTGCTCTAAGCTTATTTCCCAATTCTAGAGGCAATTCCAAAACAAAAATAGTCAGAATATAAGAATAAAGGTAAAGGTAAAGGTTCCCCTTGATAATTTTTGTCCAGTCGTGTTCGACTCTAGGGGGCGGTGCTCATCCCCGTTTCCAGGCCATATAGCCAGCATTTGTCCAAAGACAATCTTCCGTGGTCTCATGGCCAGTGCGACTTAGACGAATAGTCAGAATATAAGAATGGCTTACTGTAAAGCTGGTGGCCTGTAAAGCTACCTACAGAGGAAGAGGCTAATATAAGAATGGCTTGCTGTAAAGCTGGTAGCCTGTAAAGCTACCTACAGAGGAAGAGGCTCTGAAGTCCACTTATGTTAATTGTGCTGCACAGGTCAACAGAGACAGAACTGTGCCTAGAACTTATAATTAGAAGGGGATAAAACATTTTCTTTTCAAAGTTACTGTGACTGAGCAATCAGTTCACAAATGGATCGTGTGCTTGTCTCCTGACAACAAGGCGCCAAACAAAAGCAAACTAATTTTCAACTGCTGTGACTGAAAAAAAAAACTTTATTCTAGGATAAACAAATGGATGTAACTTCTCGCAAGAGCTCTGCATCCAATGTCATGAGTGTTCAACATGTAGAAGCAACTGTATATAGATGCATCCTGCACACTCTTGCTGCCAGTTTATGGAGTATCTCTGGGCACATCCAGACCGGGAAAGTTGGAGCAGTCTGGTTCACACTTAAAAGGTTCTTTAGTGTTATCTATTTTATCTCTCACTTGAGTGACACTGATTAACTTTTTTTCCCCCTTGAGAAGGGCCTAGATGGGTCGTTGGATCAATTTGGCCCATTTTTGACTAGTGACAATCCTCTTCCTGCCCCATTCCCCACCTTTTCTTACCATCATTCAGTTGGCCATGGTAAGTGTCCTGGGGTTTGTGTGTGTGTGTGTGTGTGTGTGTGTGTGTGTGTGTGTGTGTGTGTGTGTGTGTGTGTGTGTGTGTGTGTGTGTGTGTGTGTGTGTTAAATAAAGTAAGTAACACAGAGAAACAAAAATGCATCTATCTAGCATGGTACACGTACTACTGCTTATCTTTTTCAATGCCATAACTCCCAAATACATCACAAGGTTGTCACTTCAGATAACACTACTCACAGCTATATTTGGGTACACACTAACCATCTGCAGATGCTGTAGAATGGGATTATTAGGAGTGCACCAAATAATGCCAAAAAAGCTGTAGACCTACAGTAAACAAATTTCAACATCTGATACTGGAACTTGTTCGTAGTACTTCCTGGGGAAGTGTTCCTCAGAACTTACTCAAAAATCTTATCCATATTCAGCATTTATTATTTATTTATGTATACTCCTGTCCCATGTATATGAGGACATTTAAGGCAAAATACGATGACAATGCTGTACTCCATTGTCTTGGTAATAAATAAACCTGTTTCCACTTTCCTATATTGCCCAGCGTATATTTTGACAAGCAGCTAAAATCAAATTGTTAATTTAAGGCTTCATTGACTACCTATGTTATATTTTGGTTTTGCTTTGATTATGTTTTCCTCCAACTCTTGTTTTACTGAGGAGTCCACTTTGCTACAACATTTGCTATGGGAAGAAGCAATCAGGTGTCTTAATAAGTCATTAAGCAAACTAGTGTTCCCTGAGCATTGGGAGCATTTGAGGGATATTTACATGCAGATATTGAGATCTTTTGAGATTCTAAATTATTCTCCTGTCATATTGAGACTGCTGCACATCTGAGGAGTGCTAGGGCTTGCTTTTTCTTTTGTTGCCTTTCCCATTTCCTTTTCCATCATGGTCTGTGCCCAAGCCCTTGTGCTCATTGATTTAAAAAACACCACGTGACAAACTTTCAGGGGGTAGCCCTGTTAGTTTGCTGCAGCAAAAGTAACAAAGGATCTGTCTTAAAGACAAATAAGACTTTTTCAGATGCATCTGAAAAAATACTGTAAGTTGCAGTCCACAAAAGCTTATGCTAAATGAAGCATGTATGTTTTTTAAAAGTGTCACACAGTATTTTAACATCAAAAGGGAACCCTGACATGCTTGGTTGCTTTCTTTAGCTGCTTCTATGATGGCCCCGTTAGAATTGTCATTTCCCCCCTTCCACTGCTGAGGTGGAAGGGGGAAAATGACAATTCTGAATATGTGTGTGTGTGTGTATGTATGTATGTATGTATGTATGTATGTATGTATGTATGTATGTATGTATGTATGTATGTATGTATGTATGTATGTATGTATCTAAATAATAATTATATAAAATATCACATGTTAAAATACCACATGTTAAATTGGAATGAATGCAATGGGTGAAGGGACCTCACACTACAGTCCACTGTTTCCTAGTGATTATGCTCTCCCCCCCCTTTTTTTTTGTTGAAAGAACACACTTATACTAAAGTATAATAGCTCCTTCTTCATTTCCAGGCTTTGTTTTTATAGAAGGCTATGATATCTGCCTCCATAGGTGGAGAGATAGGGTCACCAGATTGTCTATTGTACTTTCATAAGGGAAATAATATAAGTTGTTGAAGCAAATTTCTACTCATTAACAAGGTCCTGGTTGGGTTCCTGGATGCCTGCCCAGTTGCATAGTTGGGTCATGGAGAGGAACATAACCAGTGCCTTGTTAATGAGTGCCATTTGCCTCCACGAGTTACACATTTCCCTTAAATCAGCATAAATCAGCAATGGGATTCTAAACCGTACCTGCACAGGCATGCACATAGTTATCTTGTCAAATCTAGCCAGCAGGATGGATTTGGGATTGCTGTGTGCATCTAGCTGAGTAGCTGCAATATCACTTGCAGAAAATGTAGCCAGAAAGGGGGATGATGTAAATTTTAATTTACACTTTCATGTTGCATTAAAATGAATGGCCTTTCCACTTTGAAAAGAATCTTAGATGTTACAAGTAATAAATACTGTAATCAGTGAAGGGGGAAAAACACCTCAGGAGGTTTTGATCCAAATGAAAAATATATTTTATTAATTTGCTGCTTTTTTCCTTTTCCTTTTTGGCTACTTCTTGGAATGCCACCCGAGATAACATTAGTCTTTGATATCCTTATCTATTTATTGCTAATACAGTATGTATAAACATGCATATGGTTAAAACTAATTGGCCCTGTCAGTTCAAAGGAAAAAATGCAAATGGAATTGTTTGATTGGTGCTTTAAGAGCTGCTTGAGAAACAGAATGGGATCTAATCCCTATTATTTTTATTGCTTATTGAGGTAATGCAATAAGCATAGTTCAGTTGCACAACTTTTGCAGATAGTGATTTTGTCCTTATCTTAACTCTTGACTCTACCTGAATATTTCAATGTTACTTCCTCTGGTTAGAGTAAAATAGCTCTTGGCCCCTTAATGACATCTTCCAGAATTCTTTCAGGATTTTTTTTAATGGCTTATCTTCAGGTAAACCCATATTAAAATAACTGGTGTGTAAAAGACTCCCATATTGCTACCTAAACACAGCTGCCTCGATGATAGTCATATGATACAGATTATATTATGAATAAAGCATCAGATTTCAAATGAAATGGCAGAGGTTGTTAGCTAAATAAATGTATAGCTTCCACCATCTGGTGAAATACCGTATTTTTCCATTTATAAGATGATCCCCTTTTCTAACCCCAAATTAGAAAAAGTAGGGATCAAAGGGCTCCCTTTTTACTAAGCCCCATGCCTTGGCAAAAGGCAAGGCAAGGCTGCTTTTCCTTGCCTTTTGAGAAAGGCAAGGATGGAGCTTAGCAAAAAGGAAGGGAGCAATGACTGGTGCCTTCGCAAAAGGCAGTGGTAAAGAGCTGCCTTCCATGTATAAAATGTCCCTCATTTTTTTCTCAAATTATTTAAGGAAAATGTTTCATTTTATACACGGAATAATACAGTAACTCTTCACTTAGGCCAAATTACACATTATGCACTAACTCCAGTAACTGTAGCTTGATTACAGTAGTCCAGTGGTATGACTGATGTGAAAGTAGCATTATATGTGGATAGATGTGTTTACAGCGCTTTTCTTTGGAGGCATGATTAATAGGAACTAGTCCTTTAAAAGACTTGTGGAATGCATGGAATAGATTCTCATTTTTTACATACTTCTACAGGCATTTGTACATTATATTCATATTTGTAAGTTAACAACATGCATAATGGCTATGAGCATTAATGAAAATGTGATAATGTTTTAATCCTGATCCCACTTTATAAACAAGCATTTGTTTCTTTTCATGCAAAGCAACGGTGTCATCCATATGAAAATTCAGTAAAAATGCATGCCACCCAAGACACTGAGATTTTCACTGTTTTCTGTGTTTCAGATGAAAGTCCATATACTAAATCTGCAAACCAGGCAAAACCACCGGAAGGAGCATTGGCTGTAAGGAGACAGAGTATTCCAGGTATACTGCTATTTTTAGTTTGAAATAATTTTAGACCACTGTTGGGAAGAGAGTGTTTGAATCTATTAGCTGTCCTGTTCGTTCGGCAAAAATTACTTCAAATTGTTCAAATAGATTATGGTTCTTGCCTCTTGCTATAATTATCTAATCTAAGCCATAAAGATGTGATCAGAAATAAAAAAAGTTACATTTTGGACTAAATCTCCTAGAATCCATGAATTTCTGGAAGTTGTCAAGCTAAATATAGCTTCCTTAAGATCTAACTATGGCTTCCAATCAAGAAAGTGTGACCAAGAACAGCAAATTGACTATCTTTATGCTACCTTTGTTAAACAAAAAGTACATTCACCTTCCACAAAGTTGTGAGGGGGGGTGTTATGGGGCTCACATTTCACAAAATGTCTGCTGGACAAATCTTGAGTTTGTGTTTTACCTAGAAAGCTTAATACAGAAAATACAGGATTCTCTTTATTGACTTATGTCAAAAAGTTGTCCATCTGTTTTTCTACAGCCCATGCTCATTCCACTAAATTTGTTTGTCTTGTTAATTATATCATGTGTTTGATTATATTATCTGCCTAAATGCAGGACTGTTTTGAGTGTTTAACAAATATATAGTGCTTGCTGCTGAATTTTAAAAACATCTAAAGTCAAGTAACTTCTCTGTATCTCTGTGTATCTGATTTAGTTCACTTGTTTGTCTCCAAAATCAGACAGTAGAAATGGCATGGGACATATGAATGAACACCTGCAAAACTGGCACAGGCAGGAAAGAGAGACAACCATTCATTGCTGGAACAGAGGTCTCATTCAGACTCAGACTGACATTTGTCCTGCTGTCTGGTGTATATTGGAGCAGATTGCTTTTCCTTTTTTCCCAGAGACATAGCTATGGGCACTTTCTCAATCAGCACTACACACAAGGAAAATACCGTAATAATCCAAGAGATTCACTACATTAGCAATGATCTGACACAGGCAATAATAATAATACTTCCACTTCCCCTGCCCCTCTGGAGAGGAAGTGTTTGACTGACAGTGGAAGGAGTGATGTTTTAGGTTGATATGCCAAATGGCATATTGCTCGTCTCCCCCCCCCCACCTCAAGTGTCCCTGTTTAAACTGCACCAGCCTGCACCAAAAGGTAGATGTGTCCATAGTTTCTGAAGCTGCATGACATTTGAAAAGTGATTTATTCAGGTGCATAATGTGATTTTTGCACATTTGCACAACAGTGTAGTGTAGAGGTATAGCATATGATTTTATCACTGTCTTAACCTCCTGTCACTATGTATACTGTTTTGATATTTAAAAAAAAGACAGTCCTCTTTTATAAAAACTAATAGACTTTTAAAAATCCAAATACATGGGAGACTTCCCTTTCAATTTTCAGTGTCATTGCTGTTCACATTTTCTGCTTTTATGTATAACTTCAGTCTAGAATATCAAAATAATTCGCCTCTTTAACATCAAACGCATGTGAATTTAAAACTGAAAATGAAAAATGAAACATAGCAAGTGTCTGAAACAAAGAAAATGCCATTGTGATCAGTAAAAGAAAGTGCCTTTCTATGAAAAAGTAGACTGTTCAGAACTATTATGGTATAAATAATGTCAATAGCTCTAAAAACATGTTATAACAACATGCTTTCATGTCATGACTTTTTAAAATCAATTCTTTTATTTGTAACTTTGATGAACCTCAGAATGCACCTGAGAAGACAGCACATGTTTATGAAAGAAAAGTTATATTCTGATTTGACATCAGCCCTGTTTTCCTGATATTTGAATTTGGGATGACAAGGAGACCTAACAGTGCCTAGAAGTAATCACTTTTTGTCAAAGGTTGTTATAAACCTCTTCATATCTGCTTTGATTTTCCTGAAATACAAATATTTCCTTTCAACAGATATTCCGTCTAAGATATTATCAGGGAGATACTTCATGTATCTCCCGTCCTAGGAGATAATAAGCTATTTCTAATATCTGAAATATTTTACTAGAAACTGAGTCTGGGACCTTATGTATGCATATGTGCATCTGTGTACTGCTGCTTCAATATAAGCCCCTCAGATATAAATCTCACCAGTTAATTCTCCTGAGATCGATTGGCACTCTACTACCATTGTCCTTACAAATCTGGCCAAAGGTCCATGTCAGCTGGAGAGCTGACATGCACAAAATCAACAGCATTAGATGGAAGTGTGAATGAAGAAATACAAATTGCACAATTCAATTGTACAGCATTTTTACTTATTTGAATTTCACATTTTTCACAGAGTTGGGACTAAAGGCAGTTTGCAAAATAATTACAATTATGGTGCCTACACTGTGGGGTATTGTATCACAAGATTTATGGCAGAGTACGGAATACCTAGCTTGCTGGATAGCTCAATGGTTTGGATATCTGGATGTAAAGCCAGAAGCTAGAAGTTTGATTCCCCCGTGTCTCTTGCAGAAGAAATGCCAGCTTGTGTAGTCATGGGCACTATCCCAAAGTGCCTCCAGAAGAAGGGAGTGGTAAAGCACTTGTGAGTACTCTCCACCTAAAAAGCTCTGGAAAGTGCTGCTATAAGTCAGAATCAACTTGGGAGGATGTAATTATTTTAGTGTATCACTGCAACGTTGAATCACTGCTTAGCTGTGTCATTTGTTTTAATAGCAAAACTTACGCAGCATTAAAACATGTATGCCTTGAAAATACTTGACTTAGGAACAGTTGAGCAGCATCCAGACAGACACTGGTACAGTGTGAATAATAATCAACCCTACATTTGTCATGGAACTAAACAGCAATTTAATTATTTCGGTTAAAAGTTTAGTCTGCGTGGTCAAAGCATCTTGTTCATCTTCGGATTAGTAGTAGAGTAAAACATCTATCTTGAATTGGAGTGCATTCAAGCAAATGGCTAAGTAAATTATGGATCTAATCCTGTAGTATGTCTAAATAGGGCAGGGAAAATTGCTGACCCCATAAATAATGAAGGTGTTTCTTCACAAAATTATCTTTAAGAAGGCATACTTGCTATGGCTGATCGATGGTAATCTGGACTTCGATTGCTTACATTATAAAGAGAAGAATATTGAGAGGTGCTCTGTGTGTGCTACAGTTTTGTTGGGGAAGAACTTACTGAGTTTAAAATTGTGGTAAATAACTTTCCTGTTGGCTGGTCTAAGAGCCTTATCCAATTCATGAGACCTACTCTGTAGAATTTGACAGCACTCTGGGGACCTTGCCAACACAGAATCTTTTTAGCCTACGTCTTCTGCCCAGGGCAACACATAGTAATGGAACTGCAATCACTTTTACTCTGCCTGGTCTATTTATCTGCAGCTGCATCTGCTCCCATTTGGTCTCCCAGTGTCCTACTTATTGGTGAGTGGTGAAGGAGAGAAATGCTAAAGTGCAGAACCTGTGCAGGAAGAATAAGGAAAACATCTTTCAAATAAAAATGGCAGAAGGATTTTACATAGTATGATGTACTGAATATTCATGAGTATTGTAACTACTAAGGGGAAGATACAGAATCATGGGAAGACTTTGAAGCTGCATGTTCCTTAGTTGATGGATACAGCATCACATGATGGCTTGCAATGATGTATCAACCATTACAGAGCAAACACTCTGGACACATTACTTCTCTGCACAACAGCAACAATAACAACTAACCCACATGCGCAAACAAACGTAATTTTTAGTTGAAAAAAAATCCCCATCTTTGTGTGCATCTTCATCTAATGAAACATGGAGTTATATTTATGTGTATGAGGAGCAATGTTGAATGTATACACGATGTGTGGTAGCAGATGGCTTACTGGGCTGGAAAAAAAGCCATACGTAGGGAAAAGCTACAGTTCTCTAGTTAGCAGTACAACAACTACAACAATTCAACTGGTAACCACAACTGGTTACACTGGTGGAAATGCTTCATGGACAGCTTTTCCACATCGGTACTACTGTAGCTACCATGGGCATAATTCAGCGTTACACCCATGCAGCTATGCAACAGGATTCTGGCCATTAAGAATAAGGTAGTCACTTTGCCCACCCCTTCTATTTTCTTCTGATTCCCTTATTTGCCAATGCCAACACCACCTCTTGTGCTGCTTCAGGAAAGTATGAGAACTATCACTAGAAGCCTCGGATGGCAGTAAAAATTCCTATCCCACCCACTCCTCATTTCACCAGCAAGCGTCCCCTGGATCTTAGTTCCCATGAAGTTACCCACAGGGAAATGTGCAATTTTTAATGCTTTCTCTTTGATTATTCCTTTTACCAACCAAGACAAACTGCCAGTGTTCTTTTTACATTGTCACTATAACTCTGCCAAAGCTAAGGGATTACTGTACTTCACACTGCCCTTTTAAAAATAGGTTTTAATAATAATATCTAGAGTTGGGCATGAACCAGAAAAATAGCAGTTATAGTGGTTCATAGTTTCTGGCTGCCCACAAACCATAAACTTTCTGAACTTTAAAAAAAATGGACCACAAACCTGTTCATTTTTTTTTTAAAAGAGTTCTTGGCTGGGGAGAGAGGAAACTAACCCCCCCACCTTCTGCCACTTCCCTGCCCTCTTCCCACTGCCCTGATGCGTCCTTACCTTGTGCTGCCTCCTCCTCCTCTTCCTGCTATGCCCAAGGTAAAGGTAAAGGTTCCCCTTGACAATTTTTGTCCAGTCGTGTTCGACTCTAGTGCTCATCCCCATTTCCAAGCCATAGAGCCAGCGTTTGTCCGAAGACAATCTTCTGTGGTCACATGGCCAGTGCGACTTAGACATGGAATGCTGTTACCTTCCCACTGAGGTGGTCCCTATTGATCTACTTGCATTTGCATGCTTTTGAACCGCTAGGTTGGCGGGAGCTGGGACAAGCGACGGGTACTCACTCCGTCACGTGGATTCGATCTTACGACTGCTTGGTCTTCTGACCCTGCAGCACAGGCTTCTGCCGTTTAGCCCACAGCGCCACCCTTGCCCTCCTATGCCCAACATTCCCCC